CAAATGTTCAGTATACATGATATATAACCTTCCCACCAAAATGTCATATTTTTGGAATTTGTTTACTTATTTTTAATTGATTTTATAATGTTCAGATACGCAAATTTTCGCAGAATGCTGGAATTTGGGGTTATTTTGGTCTTTTCGCCTATAACGGCTAGGTTTTTGAATATTTCGATTTTTAGGCGGTGTGGCTGGTTTAAGAGGCATTAAAAAGCCTCAACTTTTATTGCTTTCTTATGATGTTGAAGAGAGTTTTAAAAAGAGTTTTACAAGTTTGTAAGGGTTTGAAGTTTGCTTTCAAGAGTTGTTTGTGAAGAAAATTTCCATAGAGCTTGAGGAGATCATCTATTGAAGTTTGAGCTTCCAACTATTCTTCCCTCCACCTCTTGATCTATTGAAAAGATTTGTTCTAAACGTTCTTATTCTAGCTTTACATTTGCCTTATTATTTGATTTCTTTCTTTTAAGCTAGTTTTATATATTGAGTTTAGATTGATTATATTATCTCATGTTACACACCCATATTAAGCTTATTTTATTTTCATACATAGATATATTTGGGTTGGTGAGAGTTGTAACAATTGACGTGTGAGCTTTCATTGTGTTCATCCATGAGTAGAGAAACAAACATTGTATTATATTCAGCCCTAATTGTGAGGATACACTTGTAATACACTTTGCGTACACGAGAGGAGTGTGTGGTGAGAGTCGGGATTCGTCCAAGAGGAGGTGCGTTCGGTTGACGACTTAGGAGAGGTTCGTAACGAGCACTTGAGGGAGACACGCGGTAGGGTCTAAACTTGATGAGGGTGCTAGAGTGTGATTGCATAGGTTTGTTGTATGAGAGTTTTTGGAAGCTTGTAAACCGAGTGTGTAGAAGTTCGGCTTCCAAACGATTGTGCTAGTGGATTTCTCCCGGGAGTGCGGAGCGGAGACGTAGGACGGAGGTCCGACTTCCGTGATCATTTGATTTGTGTTTGACGTGTGCTTTTGCGTTCATTTATATTTATGCTCATATTCTTTATATCGCCAGTGTGCAATTGCTCATTATTTATAGTGATCCACTTATCTAGTCATATTGTTTACTCCTTGTGTTAGTTTCATATCCTTTGCATACTATCATATATTCGCTTATATCTCTTTTGCGTAGGATATTTCTTGTGTTCATATTGCTTATTCCTAGCTTCATATAACTTGTTATATTTCTTACTTGCTAGGATAACTGATTAATTAATTTTAATTGGCTTTAAATCGGAATTAGATTAGCATAAGACCCTAATCACCCCTCCTCTTAGGGCCTACAATTCGGTAGTCAGAGCTTGGGTGCTCTTTGATTTAAGGTCTAATCGCCTTGAGTTAAAGCATCCACGTTATCTTTTTTTTGCTTATCTTTGTTATTACTGTTGCATTGCATCTTGCTGCATATTTTTACAATTTATGGTATGGAATGATGCCATTCTTGTTTAGGCTATGATTCTAAGCGCTTCTCTCCTAGATTAGATAATTTTCCCTCTATGCCCAATAGGTGGTGTTGGATTTAAGTTATTTGTTTAGATCTAAACATTTTGATTTATGGAAATTATAGATGATAGCTTATAATTGTGCCGCATTTTTGCGAGAAATCCAAGTGGAATAAGAATGATCATCGTATGTTTACAATGAACAATATTTTGTCTGGAATATTTGCTTAAGTGCTATTTAATTCATCTATGTCTAACAAGTTTGTTCATTTTGGATAGTGCTTACAAACTTTGGAAATTTAGTGAATGCACATCAAGGAGACTTGGAGCGATCCGACAAGCTTTGGAGGATCCCGCTTCAAGTCATATATGGAGTTTCATGCCACGTGCGACTAGGCGTAGTTCCTAGTGAGGTTTGCGGAGTTCGAACCGATAAAATTTAATAGAGTGTATGACTTGCTTGCTGTAGTGATAAATTATATGCATGCCTACAAGAAATTGCCAAATGATTTCATTGATTTACAAGAAGCAAGCATGTAAAGTTTGAAATCATCATGAGTCTTTATCATTCTAAGTTTGATACTATTTATTAATGAAATATGATCCTTAAGAAAATAATAAAAATTAAACTTGGATAGCATTGATTCTTTTGCTTTCAAAACTTGCTAAGATAAACTCATGAAGAGAGTATTAATGTCATGCTTAGAAGTAGTAGCTATTAGAAATGATTTTGATACCATTGCTCTACTTCTTTATCAATGATGTGTGGCATATAATGATATTATCTTGTTAGGAACGCATATCCATGCTTAGATTCAACTTTAAAAACATGCATTGATAACCATAAGAAACTTAATATGCCGACAAGTGCCGCTAAATTCTAGTGTTACAAAATCACCCTACATACTACTGCACACTTGTTATAGCAAGTTTACAAGTGCTCCATTTGTGGTGTAAAGGCATTAAAGCTAAATTTTTGCTATTGTGCACAAAAAACATAAGATATTAACTCCTTTCTTGTGCATCTCATCAGTTCTTCATCACATGTACACACACATGCACCTATTTCTCATCCATAAGCACTGCTCTTGTCGTATCATTGTGATTTATTATGTCTAAGTTGAGTCACTTAGCTAAGTTTTTGTTTTGATTTGCGAAAGGTTTTAAATTTCGCAAAATATTTCAAGTGACCAACATTTGTCCAATGTTTCTCATTTGCAAAATATCTCCTCTCCCATTATGTTAGAGAAAGAATTTATGAAAAATAATTTCTCATTTGAGAGAAATAAATGTTTGAACATAGATATATAGTTTCTGAAAATCTGCTGACATACACGATTTTGTAAAATCAATTAGGCATAGTAAATCAACTCCAAAAATAATAAAATTTTGAGGAAAGTTTCTAAACATGTAGATAAATATGTCAAAGAAAGAATTTCTTGAATATCACTTCTCATTTATAAAAACTTATCTGTTTTGTAAAACATGCACGAACATGCACAAACGAAAAACATGATTTTGTAAATTCCATTAAACATAACAAAACAATTCCAAACTTGATGAAACTTTGCGAAATATTTATAAACATGAAAACAAACATGTTAGAAAAAGAATTTCTCAAATTGAATTTCTATTTGTGAAAACTCATGTATTTTGCAAGTGTGTCCAAAGCATGAAACTCAAAACCATGCATGTATATATATAACTATATATATACATAGAAACCAAATACGTGTGTGTATATGATATTGAGCTTAAGGTACTTAGCACACATAATATAAAATCTAAACTAGATTACCCAAGCTTGATCTTGATCTTCATTGTAGCTCAACTTGGTACACATGCGGATGAAGCTTGAACTTGATCTTTAACTTGAATTGTATGTTGCTTAACTCCACAATTCCGCCAACCTCCATTTGATATGATCATGAATGCTCGATTCCATCCATCCTCCAACACGTTGTTTGCCTAGAATAAATACGAAAACATAAACACTAGACAAACAACATTAGAAGTAAATTGTTTGTTAAACATCATCAAAACAAGAAGGCCAACAGATCCAATTTTTCCATTCTCTCTTCTTCTCATGGCTACCACAAATAATCTTATCAATCCTCAAGTGCCCAAATTATCGAAAGATAACTATGAGAGTTGGTTAATCCAAATGAGAGCCTTATTTGGTTCTCAAGAGTTGTGGGAGATGATCATTGATGGGTTCACGGAACCTACACCAGAAATAGAAGCCACCTACACCTCCGAAGAGAAGAAGGCTCTCAGAGAGCAAAGAAGAAAGATAGCAAGGCTCGTTTTCTACTATATCAAGGGTTGGACGAGGATATCTTTGAGAGAGTTGCCGAAGCAACAACGAGCAAGGAAGCATGGGAAATCCTTGCTACCATCTACAAAGGTGTCGAGCAGGTGAAGAGAATTCGCCTTCAAACTTTGAGGGGTGATCTTGAAGCCACTCAAATGAAAGATGAAGAAAAAATCTCCGATTATTATTCAAGATTACTTCTAATTGTGAATAAAATG